ATCTTCAAGGGATTCTACTGCGATAATTGATGTTGTTGAGGTGTAGGGGGTGGACACGGTGCGAAGCACCTAAAAATGCCGGGGTTTCAACTTCGAAGAATTTTCTAGGCAGTCTTTACACAGCCCAAGCACATCCCAAATATATTATATATTATACTAAATATGTTAAACTCGCTATGGCCGCGCCTTCGGCGCTCCATTACCCTGGTTAGTGATTTATTCATTTATTTTTTCTGAAAAAAAAATTCATCCTTATTTAGCTTCTTGTTCATCCTGTATTTGCTACCTTTCCGAAAGAGGTTTTTAAGTTTGGCATTTGCAACCATGTCCAAATCTGCAGTGATAACACGTCCATGATGCCTATCTACGAATTTCCTGTCAAGGTCGAGGTTTTGAATTAATTGTCGATAGTTGCGCACGATCCTGCCAAAAAGGTTTCTGCAGGCTGTAGGAAATCTTAGGATATGCATTTTTTGGCGGGAAATTTATCTCTGGCTACTGAACTGCCTAGAACGGCACTCAGTTTGAAGGAATTTAGACATTTGCTTAAAAACGGAATAATGATGAAGGATTTCGCACGAGCTTTTCTTTTTCTCTAGGGAATTAATTTTCAGCTTGTATTTGCAGAAGTCAATGACAAAGTCCCATAAGGTGCCTGTTGTCCTCTTCGCTATTAATAACATTGAGTAGAAGTTTCAATTTTGCTTTAGGAAATTAATTTCCTTAGGAAATTAGGAAATTAATTTCTCGGTCTTTATTTTATTAATGGCATTCTTCACTGATAAAAGTAATTTTCCCATTTCGTCAGAAGCGAATGGAAGTTCCCAAAGGGTTAGTGTTTGCTGAGAAAAAAGCTCTCTGCCCAAATCTCGAATTCTGCAGAAGATAATAAATGCAATGTCGGGTAAGGTTCAAGGACATGTTCATGCCTTTCATTAAGGCCGTAAGGATAATCTTCGGCAATCATCAAAACTGTGTTTTCGAAAATGATGAATTTCGATGTCATGGGATCTGTTCAGTTTAATGTACGATCTATGATTGTTCATCCTCGCGTTCAGCGCCGTGCTGGTTTGGCCAACGTAGGCGAGCCCACAGGAATTGCAGGTGATTTTGCAAACTAAATGGCTATTCTTGCAGAAGGGTTTATTCAGATTCCTTCCTTCGACCATATGGGGACAGGTACGTAATTTAATGCATTTTAAGGCCGATGGTCGAAGTACCACTAAGAGCGACAGAGTACTGTTCAATACTCGACTGCACCTACAAAAGAAAAATAAACTTAAAGGAATTTGAAGCTTCCATCAGCCTCGCCCCTTCTCTGCAGGCTAACCTCCCATAGTTTAGACAGTCAGGTTTTGGTTCGGGAGCGGGGTTGGTTTGGGTGGGACAGGCACCATTGGTATTTCCTATCTATATATATACAGGGTGGGCACAAAGTCCCTTTGCACTTGCCTTTAACATAGTGTACTTATGTAGAGCGGACCTTCTATGGATCAAGAACGTCTGTGTGGGTTCCTCCATGTTCGTAGCATAGCCTTATGCGCCTCCATGTCCGGTTGTTCATCTTCGACAACATTTGAGGGGTGACAATTCGGAACGCTGCACGAACTGCTTCTTTCAGTTCGTTGTCTGTGGAGTATCGGCGTTTCCGCACTTCTTTCACAAGACCCCAGAGTGCATCGTCAGGTGTGGTCAGGTCAGGTCAGGGCTTCTTGCAGGCAAAGGAGCCGGAGACTGTCGACCCACGTCCGATCCACCGATTTGGGAAAATTTCGTCCAGACGCGTGCGGACGCTCACTGCAAAATGCGCTGGCCAAATCGTATCGGCGATTCCCTTTCTTCTGTGCTCAGGAATCAACCAGTCGTTAATCATTCAGAGGTAATTGTTTTGATTGACAGAGCCATAAAAAAAATAAGGACCAAGCAGGTGCTCCGCAGTCATGCTTGCCCAAACCATGACATGAGGCGGGTTATGCGCGATTTCATCAAAAAAGTGAGCATTTTCTTTTGCCGAGAAAAACACATTGCGATTTCGAGAGATAAATCGCACATTCATCAGAAAACATGACTTTCTTCATGTCTGTTGGTGTGGGAAATCGTTGCAGCATTAAATGACATGCATGCACACGTCGGTCCAGATCTGCATCCGTCAACTCATTAACCGTTATCGGACGAAAACTTCTCACTTGCAAGTCTTTTCTCATGTGTTTCCGCATTGTTGACCTTGGAATGTTTAACTCTGCAGCACGTTTTCGAGTCGATTTTTCATCGGCGACCGTGCAACCGCCTCTTCCACAGAAGCGCAAGTCTCCAAACGAATGGTTTGCCAAATCGCACGACAAAGTCGTTCATAATGTCCTGCATTGTTTTGCCGGTGAATGGACGTTCGTGGACCCAGACAGACGCCACCAAACGCTCCTCAACGGAGAAATCACTTGTATCGGCCATCGCGTCACTTTGAACGACCCTGGTTTTTCATTTCCTTCATACAACCGGACACAGCTAGGTGTAAAGGGACTTTGTGCCCACCCTGTATACAGTATATACACGCGAGTTCGGGCAAACAAACACGCTATGGTCGCGCCTTCGGCGTTCCATTACCTTGGATAGTGATTAATTCGTTTTTTCTTTGCGAAATGGCAAACACATATTTAAAGTTCGTCCCCATTGAAATACGGGACACATGGGGACGAAGGTCTTGATTTTTATCAAAATCATTACTTCTATGTGTGCCTAACTTGAAAACTTTTCTTGTGTCCCTTTTTGCAAGGGTGAAGAATATATATTTCAATACTTCCCTCCTATAATCCACGCTAACGGGGCATATTTCAAAAGTAGGATTTTTCCTGTACTCAGCCATTAAACAGGTACTTCTGAGGGAAGTTTACATTTTCTGTCTGTTTCGTTGGATCAAAAAATAATTCAGGAAAATAGGACTATAAAAAATGCCCTGATGAGTTTCAATGAATTTTTTTCTTCTTCTGAAATATAGACTCAAGGAAATCCATAGCACCCACTTTTAGTCTCATGCGTTTCCCCTTTTTACAGGCGGTAAAAAATAATTTGGAAAAGCGACGCACCCAAAAGCTGTGCTTTGAGGGGACGCACTGTAAAAGTTTAATTTACCTGCCCGATTCGTAAGGATATTTATATTATCTTATTTATATTATATTAAATTTTTTTTGAAAACATAACGTTCCCAAGAAATATCCCCACAAAATTCCAAAATATGAGAAATTTTACTTTTTCCGAGCTCAGTGTGTCAGCAGATGTCGTTGAAGACAGAGAGCGGCCACTTAATAGCAACCTGTCTTTTATCAGGTTAATTGTTTGTGTCTCTTAAATTTTAGGTCCGCCCGTTTCAGAGGAAGTTGGAAGGTTTTCATGTCCTAGCAGTTTAGCTTTTTTTTTCCATCATGTATTTACAATTATTAATTGTCATAAAAATTTTAGCCCTGTCGAAAATGAGTTTAGGGCTAGAAGAGGTGATTCCAGGTGCCAGCTGGCCGGAAGGGCCTTTTCAGACGAAGTCAGGCGAAGGGTTATGCAAGATAAGCGAAGCTGAGAGTGAGAAGGATCTGCATTTTTTTTAATGTGAGAGAGATAAGAGGAAATTGGGTTGGGAAAGAAGTGTATAGGACCAGTTAGAACTGGATTTTAATCGCGACAGAAAAAAAAGCACTGCCGTCACGGGATGTATTTAAAGAACGGAAAAGGTAGGGCCAAAAAAAAAAAGGAGGATAATGGAGAGGTCCTTGTCGATTCTCGCGTGACAGAAAAGAAGCATTGCCCACGTGAGATGGATAGGATCAGGGTTTTCGAAGGTTCAAGTCGACGAGGGATGTTATTTCCGAGGCGTTGCATAATTTATTTGTAATTTTTGTATCATAGGGATAGGTTTTAGTGTGCTTGAAGCGCCCAATGTAAACTTTTTATTTAATCTTTCAGGAACAGAATATGCTCTGGCCTCTCAGGGTCATTACAGCAACTAAGTGCTAGTTGAGAAGCGTGCTGGGAAAGTAGGGTGAGTCCGCTAATTCGATATAAATAGGAATTAGGGAGGCATATCTGATTGCAGCTCGTTCGAAGACTATTAGCCTATCGAGGACTGACTCCAGGCAATTGGCCAAACCTGCGAGCGCGTACGTTAAGACCAGGTATCGCAGGTACGCTACGCGTATAATTCCCAAAAAAAAACTTTAGACTCGCATCTGTTAATCCCGGCCAGGATATTTAGGCAGTTAAGGTTTTTAATTGCTTTTGAGCTAATTTTACGTTATTCCATCTCAAATTACTGTCAAAATTTGCACCAAGAAAACGAGCGACCGAGAGATGAGCCCACCGTCCAGACGGACGTCCACAGAGTGGGCAATGGCTCGACCTGCGCGGGACTTCTGGTTTTGGGAAGCGGATGTTGTGATTGCGCATGCGCATTGGGTAAGTGTGCTCAGCTGGCAATTCCGACCGCCTGGTGACTCTCCTATGTATAGTCTGGGTTGGTATTTGCCTTTTTGCGAGTTTTGGCGTTCTGTATCGTCGTGGAAAGACGGATCCGCAGCGATCGACAAAATAGCGTTTTTGACAGCTCCACAGGTCTTAGAAGATGGAAATCCCAAAACTTTTGAAACGTCCTTCTTCGTTGCCCTGTCGAGAATGAGATCTGAGTGTAATTTGAAGTATGATGAGGTGCATCTGGCTTTCTGGGTTTTCCTTGGTCATCCCGGTCATTTCCATGGTTGTGAATTAGTTTAATGCCATTCAATGTAGTAGAAGTTTATTGGCAGGGGAGATATTATAGATATTTACAAAGGTTATTATGGAAATAATTCTGCCTGCATGCAAGCACTAACTTTTTTTTTTAAGGGTGCGCGGAAGTGTGCACGCCTAAAATAGAAAGAAAATAGAAGCAGGGGCAGAGCAGTCTTCTGCAATCTCGACGACCGACACCGTGGTCCCAAAAATCTAATACTGACGACAATGGTCACGCACGGCAGAATCTGCTAGAAAGTGGACGAAGCAGAGTGTCTGAGCCCCGTCGACTCCTCTTCCTCCCCGACCTCGAAGGTCTTGGTCCGGATGCTCTGGAGCATTTCGTCCAGGCCGAGCGACTCTCGCTTCAGTGCCTGCTCCTGCTTGAGGCTCCGCAGGGTCTCGGTCAGCGACGACTGGCTCCGCCTGTTCGAAGCAGAGGGCGACTTCATGCGGGGCTGTTGCTTTCGTTGCAGGCGGCAATATAAGATTCAGATAGAAACTATGGAGAGTTTTATCGCAGAGTTTTCCCATATGAAGTCCCTTTGGTTGCAAGACTTACGCCCCCAAAACAAAATAGGTCACGTAATTTCTCGATAACCTAATCGTTATTCACGAGGATATGAACGTTTAATCCTCACGTACTACCATGTGAACCCGTTGTTAAGTTAGTCAAGAAGCCTAAGTTGCCTCTTAACCTCTCGAGTACCTGTACGTTGTCCCCATTTCGTATTATCCAATTTTTCTTTTACTTCTACTTGTCCCTTTGTAGCGAAATGGAGGGAAGTTGAAAGGTCTGAACATTTCTTATAGTGGTAGGTATGAATCTCCTTTTGAATATACTGTACTTTTTTCCTCTGATAAAATCTCTCAATTGATAAGCAAATGATGTAAGGTATTGTGGATATGAAGCAGACGAGATATTAAATATTGATGACTTGAGCGCCTTCCAGCTATCTCAATAACGATAAATTAGTAGTAATGATTTTCGGGTCTTCGACCACTTTTCAGTTTTTCACAACTATTTGGCTCCCTCTAGTAATTAGGTTGAGTCGTTTGGGAAGAGGAACAGACTTGAGGGCGTTGATTTTGTCGTTGAGGGCATGAGAGACGGAGTGGAGGAGATCCCTCTCCCGCTGGAGCGAGGTGGAGGATTGGTCCAGGGCGGCTGGGCTCCACCGACGGCCTTCCATCCGGGCGTCCACCAGGGCCTTCTTTGGGACCATCGATCGGCTGCAGTCTTCCAGGCGTCGCTCCTCTCGCTCCACGTGCATCAGCTCTTGCTCGATCTGCAACGTTCGTTGCGCAAATATCCCTGATGATTTCTATTGTTTGAATGGCCTTGTTTACGACTTCAGAATAATAATAAAAAAATCAATTGTTAATTAAGATTTTTTTTCGAGTTTAATATCTCAAGGTAGAGAGTTATGACCCGTCAGCCATTTCTACCAATTCCACTCCAACCTTCTCCCTCTCGTCGGGTGAAACCAATGCAACTCCTGCCTCTCGATGGGAAATCCATTCCTCTCCAGGAGATCTAGCGAAGCGAGGAGCAACGCTTGGAAAGCGTTTAGAAATCCCTCCAACGGACCTCTTCCACACACTAGAAATGGCTGAAGACTGCAGAGGCAAGTCGGTGCTACAAACGGCTTACACTCAGGATTACCCTTTAGTCAACCGCATGGTTGAAATGAAAAAAAAAAAATCGACAGCGTTCAGCTGGCTCAGATCTTCCAAAGGCAAACCATTAACCATCATGTCGCATTGTACTCGTTCAAAGCCAGAAAGCCTCGCAACAGAGTGGTTTCTCGCTAAACCACGCTAAAAATTCCCCCACGAAGCCACACGAACGAAAACGACACCTTTTTCTGCTGAGAGTAGAGAGCGGCGATGGCCTGCCTCTGCTGATGGATCCGGAATCGCAGCGCCGCATCCACGTCCTCCCTCCCCTGTCGAAGGCGAATGGAGACGTTGAAGCGGAGCCTCTCCACCTTGTTCCTCTCGTCCCGACTCTTGGCGACCTCCTCCTTCCCTTGCGCCTGCCCTTTCTTCACTCCTTCCTCCCAGCGACGCGATCTGAAAGGAGGGGGGGGGGGGGGGGGGGGGGGGGGGGGGAAGAAACGTGGTGGGGGGGGGGGGGGGGGGGGGGGGGGGGTAGGGCTGGAGTAGAAACGAATTTTTTTTTTTGCTTAAGCCACCCGACTTTTCATAGTTTAAGAGACGTCCTTCTCTGAGATTCGTATGGTAAATTTGCTGTCTATAAGCTCGGTATTTACTCGCTTCATATCGTAACTGGAATCGAAATCGTTGCAACTTTGCTCGGTCCTTTTTTTCTTGCTATGCTCAGGCTATTAACTGGGCTGAGTTCCTTTTGGCCTGTTTAGTCGCTTGCAATTTCACTTCGTTCCCTTTTCGAAGTCCTTCACACGGCTCATTTTGAAGCAAAATTTAGAAAAAATGATGGGATGAAGTTGACATTTAATTTTGGGTCGATGAGTTCGTTTCACCATGCGATTAAATTCTGATCGGGACAAGTGATGCCTGAGCAACATGGATCAAGTAGCCTAAGCACCATGGATCAAGTAGCCTAAGCATCTGCTTGATTTCACGAATTGGCAACCAGCAACTTTTAATGGCGTCTGTTGTTTGTCACGGCTTGGACGGAGTTTTGCATTGACTGAACATGAGAGATAGGAGAGGCCTTTTTTTTCGTGGCCGTAAATAAGTGTCTCAGTGGGGTCATTATAAAATAAAAACCAAATTTACCATTTTGGGGGCAATCGTCCCACATCTGCCCCCCGAAAATTATTCTCTTTTGGTCCACCTTGTTTTCCCGAGTGTCCGGAGAAGAAAAAAAAAAGGATGACAGAGAAGGGTGAGTTCGAAGAATGAAAGGACTTCCTGCCGATCCTTTCACTCGACGCCTCGTGCAATTAGGAGCACCATATGCAGATGTGATGCCATGAAGGACCTCGTTAGAAGCAGGAAGGCAACTCGACGTGACTTCCGGATATTCCGTGACCTTACTAGAGTCGACGAAGCTGCTCATCGATTCCATGCTCGTCCGCGCCTCGAGCGGACGAGGAAGAGCCTTTTCCCAAAATACTAACAGCCAGATTCTCGAGTTCCCCAAACTATGGGACCCCTCCCAACCTCAACCTCAACCTCAACCTCAACCACCTCAACCCACCAGTCCCCTCAACTCACTCTTCCTGGCTGAACGGCAGATGCGGCTTCTCCGAGATGTTAGGCGCCGCTTCCCCCATCGCCTCCAGCGCCTCCTCCGTCCTCAGGTTCTCCGCCTGCTCCCACAGGAGGAACTCCAGCGAGTGCTTCGCGTCCAGCAGGGAGCACTGCCGGTTGAAGAGCTCGCTCACGGCCTCTGCCAGATCCTTCTGTGCCGACGTGATCGTGTCCAGTTCCTGGAAGGCGTGGCGAGTGAAAGTCGACCCGACGTTTCGTGCAAAAACTGGCTGTAACTCGCATGCGAACGGGGACTAAACTTGCGAATTTAACATTGAAAATAATTTTTTTTTTGCAAAAATGTTTGCGAACGATTGAATCCCACTTTTTACCATTTACGCTGTGGTCCATAAAAAAAAGCTGCTTGTCTGCGGGGACCGTGCTTTGGCATCAAAAGGAAAAGACCATCACAGGCGTAACCAGATTACGAACATCAAAGTTGATCCAAAGTGAAACGAGATGCCAATCAGTGACGTCATAGATGATTGATTCGACGAACTCGTCGAATATTCGATAGGTACCATGGCATTTTATAGCTAGTAGAGTTCATCTTCGAATAAGTGATGAGTCTTCAAGTGGGACTTGTTCTTGTAGTCTGGTACTCTAATGAAATATTCGCTTAATTAATAGACTCAGACGCTGTTTGAACTTTTCTTTGTGATATAGGCTGGGACTTATTCTGTTTCACTCAAAAGAAGCTGGTGCCTATGAACGACCAGATGAGTGGTATGGCTCGTGTCGCATTCGAGAGTGCCAAATCTCATCGGCAGGGTCTATGTCGTGCTGTTGGGTCGCGTGAGAAACGCGGAAGCCATACGAGAGGCGACAAGTATCGTGCAGGCACTCGAGTGGAGTTTCATTATTATATAGGCCGTCCCAGAATCGACGAAACATCGACATAGAAAATGTACGGGCCGAGACGAAGAGCCTACCAGTTTGAGGCATTGGTCCACCGGGTCGTTGACCGTGTCGGAGTCCCGCCGCCCGTCGCGAATCACCTGCGCCTGGCTGTTCGTCTCGAGCGGGACGACGAGCGACTGGAGGGCGGACTCCGACGCGCCCTTCTCCTTCTCGACGAGGGTCAGCTCCTCCTCCACGCGCTTCAGCGACTCCGAGGTGTCCAGCTGGAGCTTCCGAAGCTCTTGGATTCTGCGGTGTGGACGTTGAACGATACATGGGTTGGGTGAGGGTCGCTAGGCCTCGGCTACCTTAGCGATTTTGGGACATTGTACAAGTAAATATAATTAATACCAGCTTATATTAATTCGACTCCGAGGTATCCAGAAGCAGATATAATCGGATCGAAATTCCCGTCTCTCGTCGAGTCGAAGCGAAAGAAACGGAAGGATGCCGACCTGTCTCTCAGGCGACTCGTGGAATTGGCTGTGGCCCATCGCTGCCGAATGTCGGAGTGCGACCGCAAGGCGACCGCGGAGTGTCGGACCTCGACGGCCTTCTCGCGTCGCTCGGTCGCGGTCGCCTCGAGGATCCGGAGGCCTTGGTGCCAGTCGTCCATGGAGTGGCGGTAGCCCGGCTTCCGAGTGGCTGCCATCTGGGGATCGAGGACTTGAGAGAGTGAGGATCGAGGGTTCGAGAGTGAGGATCGAGGACTCGAGTGTGAGGATCGGGGGCTCCCTGGGTTGAGGATTTGAGAATGCGTGCTAGGGATAGGGAGTCTTTATTTCCGAATCCATTACAGACTGGATTTATGAGTTTCTGATACGGACATCGCGATAAGAAAGGGAATATTCTCTTGAGAAATATAACCAATGCGTGGAATTTCGGGAGTGGATCCCACAGACCAGACAAAATATCTATAATTCGGTCATGCATGCAGCGAAAGAACGAGGGAAATTTGTAAGAGAGACTCACGGCTCGTGACCGCCTTCTTCCTCGAGTCCAATCAGGGAATGGACACTATAAAAGCCTTCCCCGGCCCTCCCCAAAGAAAGTGTGACGCGGAAGCAGGTGAAACGAAGCGGATGATGGTTCGATGATAGGAATTTCGTATCCCTAGCAACCGACCGGACCCCGTCGGCGGGCACGGAGGCAGGCACGGAGACGGGCGCGGAGGCAATCTAACGAAGGCTGGCTTCTATTCAAAGGGCCTCGCGTCGATCCCCCGATCGGGGCCCCCGTCGCTCGATCCCGTCCCCGATCCCGTCCCCGATCCCGTCCCCGATCCCGTCCCCGATCCCGTCCCCGATCCGGGTCGCGGAAGGGACACGCGAGGAACCTGATTGATGCTATTGAATTGCTGCCTCGATGAGACGGAATCGGCTCCGTTTCCGCGCTTATTGAGACTCTTCGGGACGGCGACTGACGTAGGGCGACATAATGACGTTAGAGATGCAGTATCAAGTATATGACAGTCCTGAAGTCATATCTTCCTTGGGGGCGGGGCGGGGCGGGGAGGGGAGGGGAAAACTCATTTTGTAATAATTATTCAAAGAATGCGACTTGCAATAGACGAGGGGGGCATTTGAATGCGCATAGCGGAATGAAGGAGTTTTGTCTCGGTAAAAAATTGAGCAGGGGATGAGATAAACTGCAGCTGGAGAGGGGATGAACCAGATCAGCAGCTTCATCTAATCCGGGGACTGCAATGAACTTGAACAAATCACATATTTTCCGCAAAAAAAATTTCCATCTGAGGAAACCGTTTTGGAGAAAAGCAACTTCTCGACTAAATACTTTACCCGCCACTTCACTTACCTCAAAATTTCCCCATCGCTCGTCTCCCGTTTCCTCGAGTATTTGAAGCGTCCACCCGCTCGAGGGCAGGGCTTCCCGCTCGCTTCTTTCAGCATTTCTTTCAGCATTTCTTTCAGCATTTCTTTCAGCATTTCTTTCAACATTTCTTTCAGCATTTCTTTCAGCATTTCTTTCAGCATTTCTTTCGAACAACAAGGAAGAGGGCCATTCGTATTTTCTTCATGAAATGTCTAATGAAAAAGTACGGAGGCTTGCATCTGAACCACTAGTACCATCGAAAAACTTAAACCAAGACACCTATTTTGTGAATCACCTTAGTCCATAGTGCAAGTACCACCCAAACGTACTTCAGTACTGTTCCAAGTACTTTGGGGGGGGGGGGGGGGGGGGGGGGGGGGAAAGGNTTCCAAGTAGGTTGGGGGGGGGGGGGGGGGGGGGGGGGTGAAGCACCTCAAAGGAGATCCGACGGCAGATTCCATTCAATGGATCTATTACGACACGCAACTCCGGAGCAGGAAAGGCTCGGCTCTGCTCCCGTGAAGGAAGATTAAATCGAGCAAGATGATTATTGAGCAAGATTAGCAAATAATAACCTCTTAAAGGAGGGTATTACGGTATGACGGCGCCTGGCTGCATGACGGCATCTGGCACGGGGCTGTGCCTAAATTAAATGCAATTTTTAATACGGTCGTTTTCCGAGATGCTAATTGCTCATTGGATTAATCCCAAAAGAGGAATTTTTTATTATAAATATTATAAATATTTGGTACTGCTTGAGAATCCGCGTAATTTGTTTGTTTTTGAACGCTCGGGAAATTAAAGCAGACAAAGCGAATTCCATCGCGAAACGTTCGAAGCAGTCGAGCGAGTCGGCGCGAATCACGACTTTTCCATGCATTAAAATTCATTATTCAAATTTTGTGGTCTTAATTTTGTCAGCTGCCTGAATCACAGAAGAAAATTCTCGCGACCGTCTTCGCCGTTTTCCTTCGGTCGAGCCGAAGACTTTGCCCCGGAGAAAACCCGCACGGAATGCGAGGCGGAGGTGAAAAAAGGAAAATCTCAAAATTACCTCTTAGCACGTCTCGCTAATGCACTTAAGAGCGGGGGATTCGTTCGAAGAGCGCAAATTCCCCGAAGAGCGAGCGACGACTTCATCCGATGATGACGGGACGCCATCCCGGACTGGATGGACCTCGCTGGGGGACGTTCCTGGCATAGCGAAACCTGCCAGTGTTGTGAAGTGGGGATCGCCGTGTCCTCCCCAAAAATTTGCATTTTTAATTCATATTGTCATAGCAGAAGTACGTGTGAAATTAATTTATTATTATCGTATAATTTCGTTGCGCTCTCTGTTCTTCGCTTTATTGTTCAACCTAGCAGTACGGTACACTTTCCTTTTGTCAATCACGCTTCGCTTGGAAACGGTTGATCGACCCGGCCTTTTCCGTAAATGAGCCTTTCATTTGCCCCTTAGGCCATGCATTCTACTTCTTCCACTGGCGCTTTCATTGGACAGTACTCAGGGCCGTATGTGGGATTTCATTTCGGGAGGGATGAGGTCTGGCGTATGCGCTGTGGCTATTTTTTTTTTATGCATGTCATTGTAAGTCTTTTTGACATATCTGGATTTTCCTGTAAGTTGCGGTGTTTAATGTCATAAACTATTAAATATAGAAAAGACTGCACCGTTTACACCGACGAATATGGCAAAAATTTAAGGAAGAAATTTCGGGAGGGGGGGGGGTTGAACCCTATGAACCCCCCCCCCCCTTAAAAAAGGCCTTGACATTACTACAATAATGGAAAAAATTTAAGGAAGAAATTTCGGGGGGGGGGGGGTTGAACCCTATGAACCCCCCCCCCCCCCCCTTAAATACGGCCTTGACATTACTGTATGCAGTTGAGAACATTAGAGCAGCAAAGCGGCCGCATTGCTCCTAGGGATCTGGCATCCGTGGTTATGTCATGGCCGCCTCTTCGCTTCCACGTGAAGTTTACGATCAATGTATCCACACCCATTTAGCTTGTTACTTCCGCTTCTCGAATCGTGACCACTTTCTCGGCCCTTCGGTGGTGCCCAACGATAGAATGTCTATATTCTGCCTAGAAAAAAGTTGTAAATAAGCCCCAATATAGGCCGATAGCAACCTAGGTGTCGGTTTAAAAGCCAGTCATACGGTCAGCCGTTGCTGCCAGCTGGGTATTTAACATCTTGCGAACTTCTAAATACGCTGGCTGTATTATCCATTTTCCCAAACCATTTCTGCGCACAATTGATTTCTCCGTTAATGTTCATCCACTGTTGTCTGTTGCGCTCATCGCCACTGCACATCATCTAAATTTATTGTGTATGGTGGCATCAAAGATAATGTTATCCATCGGTAGGTTACTTGACAGGCGTGTGACGTCCTAAGATGGGAAGAGTAGCATTTGCGGTCTTGGGCAGCTGATCGGAAGCCAATTCGGGGCCAAAACTTATCTATGAATGAATGCAATCAATATCCTTAGGTGTTGGTCCTCTTTTTTTCATCATGAGTCATTTGAGCCAACTTTTTGAGATTCATCTTTGGCCTTGTTTGGTGCATCCTTCCACGTTTCCTCTGTGAATAACCATTTTGCATAGGACACAGGAGGGAATTGTGAGAGTGTATGAACAGTAAAAGGGGGGAATAGAGAAGTATATAGTACAGGAGACTAAATGTGTGACTGATCATTATTTGCATGTTGCTCAGCTAGCCAAGAGTCAATATTGTCATAAACTTGTTTAGTTAGTAAGTTGTAGCTTGACTCTGGGGCAAGCTACCTACGTTTGATGTATGCAATGTATAATTTATTGCTTATGATGGGATTAAGCCTAAATAAGAGCCTAGGCCTAGTTATCCAGTAGGATAGGCCTTGGCCCATTTACCCATTGTGTTTAATTGAGACTGGTAGAGTTAAGTAAGCATAAAAACATGGGTGATATGCCTAATTTGCACCAATGTGTATAATTACTATAAGTTGAGGCACAAGAGGGAGAGTTTTTACAAACATGCAGTTTGAGCAATGTCAATTGATGTCTCATGCATGGTGATCTATCGCACAAAAGATCACAAAAGGTGGAAAGGATGGATGCCGCTTATCAGATCTTTTGTTAGCCACTCTTTCTACTTTGACTATCTGCTTAGTATTAGTTAGGAGGAATGTGGTGGTTAGTAGGTTAGGAGATCTCTTCATGATTCTATCTCTCCCTTGATGATCAACAAGAGCTGGCAGAACAATGGCTTATGATTTAAACACCCATGCTAGTTGTCACACTCTTAGGAAAAAGAATTCAGTTAGAACTTCAAGTATCTATTACTCATTATAAGATTTGCTATGGTGTACAATCTAGCCTTTATATAGCACCACTGTTGGTTGTCACTAATTTTGATGTTAAAATGGCAGTTATGCCATATTCAATGTACCACAGTATGTGTGTCACTTTGGAATTAATACTCTGAAGGAAAACTTGCCTAAATGGATGTGATGCTTAAATCATCATCCCAGTCCCCTCTGATGCTCTATACTAGTCATCTGTACTATTCATGCCATGGCTATGAGTCATCTCATGCAATGACAACAAATACTTAGTTCTCCCTATTTAGTTCTCCCTAGTACTGCATAAGAGTTGTGACATGTAGGCTACTTGGAGCAAAATTGAGGAGGAATTATGCAGAAAAGCATGCTTGTGCATATGGTGACAGTGGCAGTAGAATTTACATTTGAAGAAACTGGAAATTGTACAGAAGAAAGAATCATTTGCACAAGAGAGGTAATACAAAAGTATGAGCTAAAGCTGGGAAATTCTTCAAG